TCAATGGGTCTACTCTGAGTAGCACTTAGTGTTCATGCAGACATGCAAATATTGTGTTAAGTTTTCCTGATTATCATGATAGCACCTTCTGTCGTGTTTTCTAATATTCCTCTAACATGTTCCTGTTGCATAATGGAATGGTAACATACATCATTGGACAATGTCGCCAATCGCCCACTCTTTCCACACATGCATGCTTCTGTTCCCCTATGGCTGACCCACAAAAAATGGTAGAATGTATTACCACCCCAATTTTTGTCATATTACTCTCACAATTTTCTGGGTTAATGGGGTTGCAAATCAATATTTCTGGAAGCAATTAACATAAAAATCAGTGCTAAACTTTTGGTTTTTATTTTGCTAGATTTCCAGAAGAGGCATTTATGTCATGTGAAGCCTCAAACGTAATGTAGGAATTAACAGTTACGGAAACATCAATGAACTGAAACAAACTGCAGTGTGACTGCAGCCTTAGTTAGATGCAACCCAAAGTGTAAAAATCCTATGCAAATAATAAGAAAAGATGCCATGACATGGAATATGACTTTTCACACGGCTCTTCATCACAGTCAAGGATGCATTTAGAAGAAAGACTGTGATGTGTTTGGACCTGACGGCTGTGTTGCAACTAAATCTTTCTAACTGGGAGGCAGACAGGGAAATGCCTCCATAAAATGGAGACATCCGAAGTGGGAATAAATGTCTAGGAAATTCTCGGCTACCGTGATTTATTTGCCATTCTCTTCAAAAAAAATAATAAAAGGCTTCACAGAACAGATGGAACAGTCGTGCAGTCAAAACCAATATATAAGAAATGACACCTTGGGGTGTACTGGTGGTGGTCCAGCCTAGAGATACCTATCTTCAGATGGTCCTCCTGGACTTAGAACAGTCTTCGAATGTCAATATTCCTTTGCCACAATTCTACCTGCTTCCATTGGTGCTCTGCCACAGAGGGTCTGGCACACACAGCCCTGTTTATGAGCGTTCAACTCGCACAGGGCCATGTTTACGCACGGCGCTGGGAAATAAATAATTATACCCAGAAATGGCAGGAGAGAGCTGCAGAGGCCTCATGGCTCACGAGGAGACCCTTTCCCGGAAGACTTCAGATGTCAGGGACTGGACTGAGGAGGATTGGGGACTGCCCCCCTCCTCCTGAACCTTCCTGAGGACAGGAGGACAGTATAGATTTAGAACAGTGGTTTGCAGAAGGCCATAGCTCAGAGGCTGCAGAGGGGAGAATCTGGGAGATATTGGGAGAGGAACCAACAGGAAGAAGAAGCACCAGGGGAGAGACAGACGACAGACTCAGTGACTTTGGAAAGCATGCCAGACCCACCCACCCACCCCAGGTCCCGGCGAGCCTTGAGAGTAGTAGAACAGAAAGCTCAGAGGCAGTAAGCACAGTTCAGCTGGTGCAGGGATGACTAATAATAATAATAATAATAATAATAATTTATTATTTGTACCCCACCCATCTGGCTGGGTTTCCTCAGCCACTCTGGGCAGGTTCCAACAAAGATTAAAAATACATTAAAATGTCACACATTAAAAACTTCCCTGAACACGGCTGCCTTCAGATGTCTTCTAAATTTCGGGTAGTTGTTTATCTCTTTGAATCTGATGGGAGGGCGTTCCACAGGGTGGGCGCCACTACCGAGAAGGCCCTTTGCCTGGTTCCCTGTAGCTTTGTTTCTCGCAATGAGGGAACCGCCAGAAGGCCCTCAGCTCTGGACCTCAGTGTCTGGGTAGAACGATGGGGGTGGAGATGCTCCTTCAGGTATACTGGGCTGAGGCCGTTTAGGGCTTTAAAGGTCAGCACCAACACTTTGAATTGTGCTCAGAAACGTACTGGGAGCCAATGTAGGTCTTTCAAAACCGGTGTTATGTGATCTTGGCGGCCGCCCCCAGTCACCAGTCTAGCTGCCGCATTCTGGATTAGTTGTATTTTCCAAGTCACCTTCAAAGGTAGCCCCACGTAGAGTGCATTGCAGTAATCCAAGCAGGAGATAACTAGAGCATGCACCACTCTGGCGAGACAGTCGAGAGATGGAGGAACGGGAGTGCAGAGGGACCGAACCGCCCCTGGCACCACTATTCTGGTAGGGTGCCATCGTGGCAGCCCCCCCGTACATGTGCAGCGCGCACCACCCTGAGCCGGACGCCATGCCCCCACAGGTGGCACGTCACACCCCCAGAACATGCCACGCCCCTACGGGCAGCATGCCATGCCCCCGGGATGTGTGCCACACCCCCAGGGCGCCAGCCATGCCCCCGCCTGCTCTCCACTCCCAGTATTAGAGCATGCAGCGTTGCCACTGGACGGAGGGGGTGAGACTTTACTCAGAGCAATGCCATTATCTGAGAGGCAGTATCATCCATCTCTCTCTGTGAATGTTGAATAAAATACCATGGTAAGAATTTGTTTTCCCATTTCTGGCTGCCAGCCATGAGGGAGGGAGATCGGATTCCCTGAAGCCTGACATCAGCGAGGACAGAGAAGAGACTGGAGGTGCAGTGGGACGTTTAGGCTGCTCAGCCTCCCCGTCTAACAGCTGGCTTGCGGGGTAGCGCCACATTTCTGCACATGGTCCAGTCTCCAGTCAGCGCCAGAGATTTAACTTTACTTGAGGACAGAGTTGCCTGGAGAGGGAGGGAGGGAGCTGGAGAGCAGGAAAAAATGGTGATTTAGAGGCTTTTTAGTGCTCCCCACTACTTACCATATTTTTCCATCTATAAGACGCCCCCATGTATAAGATGCCCCCTGTTTTAGGGGACTCAGATTTAAGAAAATGAGGGAAGATGTATTCGTGTATAAGACGCCCCCTAATTTTTGACATTATTTTTAAGGGGGGAAACCTAGTCTTATACACATAAAAATACGGTAATTCATTCTGGAAACTGGGCAATTCCAGGTAACTGAAGTTCACTAATAGAATTTTATATCTAACCATGTCTTGACTAAAGTTACCACCAGGAACCCCCTAAGTTTCCATCCCTCACCCTGTTCTTCCCATGGGTCTCCGAATCAGTATTCCATTTTTTTATTTAAAAAATTGCATTTCTATCCCATCTTCTTCTCCAAAGGAGCTCAAGGCGATGCACCTGGTCCATCCTCTCCTCATTTAATCCCCACAACAACCCTTTGTTGTTGGTTAGGTTATCGCTGGGGGATAGTGACTGACCCAAGGTCACCCAGGGAGTTTCCTGGCTGAATGGGGATTGGAACCCCTGGTCTCCCAGGTCCTAGTCTAACACTCTAACCACTGTACCAAACTGGCTCTCAGTGGCTTTCTATAGAAGCAGGCTAAGTGATGGGCTTGCCTCCCTCTTCTGCAGCACATAAACTTGCCCTATAAAATAAAAGCAAGATTTACAGGCTCGTCCTCCAAACGCCTCTCCTAATAAACACCAAATGCGGAAGGCTAAGACAACCCCCTACTGGCAAACTACTAGCCCCGTGTCCCAGTTTGCCGCTCTATAGATTTATAATGAAGGAAAGGAAAGACAACTTTTCTTTCAGTCTGATCTAGTGTTTTGGATTATGGTTAATATTTTCTGGCAAGCCGGTCAGCTGTGCTCAAGCATTCCAAAGCAAGAACAGATGTTTGAAAGCTTGGATCACAGGCCCAATGTGGAGTATCCTCAGCCATCCCTGCAGAGGGAAGTCAGCAGAACACGGGATATATATATTTTTTGAAGAACCTGAGGGGAGTTTTCTTTAAATTAAGAATTTGGAGACAGGGGGGCACTTAACTTTGTTCCCAATTACCATCAATCATTTGGATGGGTGAAAACAGTTGCTTCACTGTATCCTCCTGGCCTCTGGTCGCAAGAGATAAATAGGTTCGCTGATAAATAGGTTGGAGAAGCCTTCAGTCTCAATTGCTTATTTCTCCATTGCTTTGGGTTGTACAAAAGCCAAAGGACACTCATATAAGGAGCAAATACAAGAAGTCCTAATTTCCCAATCCTCAGTTGTGTAGGTAAAAGGTTAAAGGACCCCTGGACGGTTAAGTCCAGTCAAAGGCGACTATGGGGTACAGTGCTCATCTCGCTTTCAGGATGAGGGAGCCAACGTTTGTCCACAGACAGCTTTCCTAGTATGATCTTAGCCAACAATTTCTAGACCATCTATGCATTCCAACATGGAAACCAGAGACAGAGGTCATACACTTCTTATTACAGGGGAGAGACCAGGAGCTCATCAAGACAGTAGCTAAGTTCCTCTATTTGATTTCTTGTCGCCAGAGTATGCTACAGGATCCTGCCCTCGCTGGAGACCCACAGAGGTGAAATAGATTGCTTGCCTCTTCTTCCCTTTGGCAAATGACTGTACTGTTGAAATGGCAAGGAGATCGCACTGGCCTATTTATTCTGAATGTATTTTGAATGTTTCTATGTGATGCCAATAAAGGTTTGATGATGATGATGATTTCCAGGTCATGTGCCGGCATGACTGAACCGCGTCTGGTTCAACGGAACACCGTGATGGAAGCCAGAGCGCACAGAAACACTGTTTACCTTCCCGCCACAGCGGTACCTATTTATCTACTTGCACTGGTGTGCTTTCGAACTGCTAAATTGGCAGGTGCTGGGACCGAGCAACAGGAGCTCACCCCGTCGCGTGGATTCGAACCGCCAACCTTACGATTGGCAAGCCCAAGAGACACAGTGGTTTAGACCACAGCGCCACCCACGTCCCTTTACCTTTTACCTTTGCCTGAGTTGTGTAGCTGCTGCTCACTCTGCATTCAGACCACATTTTTGTGTGTCTTTTCCTGATATTTCATAGAATCTTAGAGTTGGAAGGCACCCTGAGGATCATCTCAACCTGTGGGTCCCCAGATGTTGTTGAACTACAACTCCCATCACCCCTAGCTAGCAAGGCCAGAGCTCAGGGATGATGGGAGTTGTAGTCCAACAACATCTGGGGACCCACAGATTGAGAACTGCTGATTCTAGTCCAAACCCCATGCAATGCAGGAATATACAGCTGTCCCTTCTGGGGATCGAACCTGTGACCTTGGCGTTATCAGCACCACACTCTAACCAACTGAGCCAGCCATTCCTTTCCTGCTAATTTCTGCACTTTATGTGGACAGTCACAGGACTTAAAAGCCACTTCTGAAACTCTAGTGCCAGTCTAAGCGCTCATTTCTCTGTTTATTGTTTCTGGGGACAGAGGGGATCCATTTGCAACCCCATTAATTTGGAAAATCAATGGAGGTTTTTTAAAAAAAATAAAAATAATCAAATTTTATTTATTTATTATTACAAAGGAAAGTGCAAATCATTTTGTTACCTGTGAACAAAATGCAAAATTTTGAAACTGGATCTCAAGAAGGTATGATAAAAAATAACATGTTTTATTAGTCCAAAATGATAGGATAGACAGGTTGGGCTAGGGAAGTAATTGTGACTTTCACTAATAACTTAAGTACATTTGTACACTTAAAATCAATCCCCTACTTTTATTTTTCAGCATACAACAAAAGTACATCAGAAGAAGAAAAGAGAAATGGAAAATAGAGATGGGCTGTCTATAAATGCCAAACTGTATTATAAAATGTAGACACTTCTCTTCCGTGTGTTGTATTATTTGTATAATTAATTAAGCCGTACCTGACCGCATAAAAATTATTGTGCTTTTTTAGGTCGCCTTGCTAATTTTAATTTTTGCGCTCATTTTCTATGTTTGATAATTGTAAACATTTCCAGGTTCCAGCCTTTGCTGTCCTGTGCTATAACTTCCTTACTCTTTAGTTGTTCCATCTCTAAAATAGAAGAAGTTTTGCGTTGTAATTTCACATGATGAAATTAGGGATGAAATTATAGCTTGTTTCCCCCACCCTTTTAAAATGCAGCGCCACTGTTCCATGGTGCAATGGGTAGAAACTGAGACAGAAATGCTAGCATTCTAACCAGTAAAACCAATTCAATAACCAATAAAACCAGTCACCAATAACCAATTCTGAATGCAGCCTCAGCTAAAAGCCTCAGTGAGCTCATTTTTTATTCTCAAATCCACTGCACGTGCAATGCAAACTTTTGTTAGCCACTACAGTACATTCATTTTCAGCCTCACTTGTGGAAATGGCCCTAGTTCTTTTTTTAAAAAAAAAAAATCTGCATCCCAAACTTCTGTGATCCTTGGTTTTTGAGATGAGAGCTCCCTCTGCTGCTTCAGTTTATTTCCATGATAGGCTGAAAAAGAAGGGAGAGAGGGGGAGAGAGAGAGAGAGGAAGGAAGGAAGGAAGGAAGGAAGGAAGGAAGGAAGGAAGGTTATTTGAACTTCAGCTCCCATATTTCCCAACCATTGCCCATGCTGGCTGGAGCTGTCTTCACAAAATAATAATAATAATTGTATTACTTATACCCTGCCCATCTCTCTGGGTTTCCCCAGCCACTCTGAACGGCTCCCAAAAGAATATTAAAAACACAATAAAGCTTCAAACATTAAAAACTTCCCTAAACAGGGCCTTCAGATGTCTTCTAAAAGTGAGATAGTTTATCTCCTTGACATCTGATGGGAGGGCGTTTCACAAGGAGGGTGTCACTACCGAGAAGGCCCTCTGCCTAGTTCCCTGTAACCTCACTTCTCACAGTGAGGGAACCGCCAGAAGGCCCTCAGAGCTTCCAATATCTGGAGAGCACCATTCATCTAGGTTGAATGTTGAATCTCCAAATGCAGATATCTCCTTGTTTATTTCAGCCTCTCACTATCTCCAGATGTCGGGGTCTGGCAGGACGCTGACAAGTGTGCACTGGGGAGGGGGGGGCTGGAGTCTGACTTGGACAATGGGGGCAGTGATTTGTGGGGACTCAGGCCAGGCAGGAGGCAAGACTCAGAGGCAGGGGGAGCTTCACAGCTGGAGGGTGGAGCACAGGAAGGGACGGAGGAAGAGGAGGAAGAGGCAGGTCAGGCAAATGAAGGGCCAGGTGCTTCCCCACCGTCTCCCAGAACCAGTAGGGGGTTGAAAAGGGATGAGCAAAGGAAGTTTCCACACAGGCGCAGTCTCCAGCTACATGCATGCAGCCTTTAGGGGGAAGATACATAGAGCACGGACCTAGGAATAGCTGCCTAGCAGTTAGATTGGTGTCCGTAAATATCCAGAGCTGTAGAAATGACTTTGTTATCTCTGGCAATAAATACTTAACTATGTGCCATGTTTATTCCTTTGGCTGCGAAGCACCTTTGATAATAATTTTTGAGTAGTTTTCAATTACATTCCAAAAATAGCCTCATTATAACAATGCCAAATTATAGTAAATTACTAATACCAATCATTCAAATACCAAATTATATAATTTAGGTGGCCCCCATCTCCTTTCTTGTAAATTGAAGCCACTGGTTTGGGTACTATCCTCTGGAGCAGGAGAAAACAAGCTTGTTCCCTCTTCTATATGACATCCCCTGAGATATTTGAAGATGGCTATCATATCTCCTGGTGACAGCAGCCACGAAATTAAAAGACACCTGCTTCTTGGGAGAAAAGCAATGACAAACCTAGACAGCATCTTAAAAAGCAGAGACATCACCTTGCCAACAAAGGTCCGTATAGTTAAAGCTATGGTTTTCCCAGTAGTGATGTATGGAAGTGAGAGCTGGACCATAAAGAAGGCTGATCGCTGAAGAATTGATGCTTTTGAATTATGGTACTGGAGGAGACTCTTGAGAGTCCCATGGACTGCAAGAAGATCAAACCTATCTATTCTTAAGGAAATCAGCCCTGGGTGCTTACTGGAAGGACAGATCCTGAAGCTGAGGCTTCAATACTTTGGCCACCTCATGAGAAGAGAAGACTCCCTGGAAAAGACCCTGATGTTGGGAAAGATGGAGGGCACAAGGAGAAGGAGATGACAGAGGACGAGATGGTTGGACAGTGTTCTCGAAGCTACCAGCATGAATTTGACCAAGCTGCGGGAGGCAGTGGAAGACAGGAGGGCCTGGCACGCTCTGGTCCATGGGGTCACGAAGAGTCGGACATGACTAAACGACTAAACAACAACAACAACAACAACATATCTCCTCTCAGTCTCCTCTTTTCCAGGCTAAACCTACCCAGCTCCTTCAACCGTTCCACGTAAGGCTTGGCTTCTAGATCCCTGAACATCTTGGTTGCCCTCCTCTGCAAATGTTCCAGCTTGTCAACATCCTTTCAATATTGTGGTCTTCTTGTGTCCTTATGAAGCGTCTCCTGAGATTTTGCCAAAATCTGCCTTCTCATATCTGCCCTTTCGTTCTAGTCCTACCCTCGTGCTGGGCAATGCTCAGACCTTCTCCACATGCCACGAGAGTGCACAGAGCAAGTCCCTCTGCACATTGTAGAAGTCTGGTTCTAGTGAGCAATCTTTCTTTCAGGGATGTTTATCTGCCTTGACCGATCATCCCATTGAGGAATCCCAGAGTTTGGTGAAACACAGTATGAAAAGCACTTCTGTAGCCTATGTACTTAACTTGGCTGTCACTTAAAGGTGATCCAAATATAATATTTCATTTAAACTCTTCCCCCTCCCACTGAGAAGCAGAATTATGCCCCCAGACTAGCATTCTAGGAAGGATATATATATATATATATATATATATATATATATATATATATATATATCTCACTGAGAAAGCTGAGAAAATCCCAAAGAGTATTTTGTTTGGCTTAAGGCCCGGGCGTTTGTAGTCAAAGCGAATGCTCCATGTGATGTGTTTCCCATTAACATTTTTGACTGCTTAAACTTCATTCATCCACAATGCAAAAAGAGACAATTGCAACGGCTTTATCAGTTTGAGCCGAACATCAGTCAATTTCTTGGCTCAAATTTGCACTCAGATTACACTTTGGTGGAGAGTAGTCATAACAATTCAACACTGAGCACAACCAGATATTTCCCACCCTCCTCTGCATAGAAACATAGAAAGCTGTCTTGTACTATCAGTTTGTATAACTCAATATTGCCTACACGGGCTGGCAGCAGTTCTCCATGATTACATTTCCTTAATTGTGAAAAGTCTCTCTGTAACTTGTGCTTCTTCTCTCATGACAAAATGACAATAAAAGTTGTTTTTAAACAAACAAACAAACCAAACAAACCAAAAAACAATCCTACATGTTCCTACTGCCCCTTATTTGCCAGGAATAGTCCCTATTTTCCCCTAATAAATATCTGTCCTGATTCTTGCCTTTACTTTTGCCTTGTTAAACATTGCTACAAGTGAGTCGCTAGCATTGCAATCCTGTCCTTCTGTAGGTGTTAATTAGGACAGCAAAGCTGCGATGGTTGCGCTTTATCACCAATTACCAGTGTTGTGAACTACACTTTGCTTATCTCATCACACACTGTACTTTTTGCATTTCATTGCCATGAAAATAATTCTCTGTATTCAAATTGCAATATAACAAAATGCAGCATGGGCAAAAAAAGAAGCAATTCAAATGCAATTTAAAAAACCATACGGCATCTAGAACAGTGCATTGCCATTGCTATAGCCGGTTCCCCACACTTTGGCTTAGCATGTTTGCTTAGAGTTCACTGCTTTCCCCATCTCATTAGTGATATAAAAGCATTTTTTTGAAATGTTCTCTTTTTACAAATGAATTATTACTAAGGCTGTGAGCCCCAAATCAGTCCAGAGCTAAAGGGGAATATGAACCCAGGTCTTAGAACATGTTGTTCCTAGAGTGACTATGGAAAGAAATGTTTTAAACTTATAGCTTTTCTTTCTTTTATTGTCCTCACTTACTGGTAACACTAGTCAATAGATTGTATTTCCCCCCCTTCACTGGCTGATAAATAGTAATTCCTGGGATCAGTCAGAAGAGCAGCTTAATTCACCCACTTCACAACGACCCTTATCAATTCCAGCTAAGGAAGAAGGAAGTCGCTGTCAGAAATAGCTTCTGAAGGTTATGTCTAGGTGAAATTGTCAGCACATTCTCAGCTGTGTCTTTTGCTTTTCTCTTTTTTGGAATTTTCTTTTCTTAAAAAAATAAAAATACATATATTTTATTAAATATTGTTACATAGTGAAAAGAAATGGACAAGCTGAACCTCCCACCCCACTTTTACC